TGTGGGTTTTTTTTTCTTTCTTTACTGTATGTTATATTTATTGTCCCTAGATTATCTAATAACCGAAACTGTTTGTACGGTGGCCTTAGGATAGTATTCCTGACCCAGTGGTCAACCTATTACAGGGATAATAATAATAATAATAATAATAATAATAATAATAATAATAATAATAATAATAATAATAATAATAATAATAATAATAATAATAATAATAATAATAATAATAAATAAATAAATAAGCTCTTGAACGCACCCTGTTAATGGTTATTTGGATCCTTCTTTGGACGACAGAATAACACAAATCCAGTGACAGAGGACATATTTGCTTAAATTGCTCAGAACCAATAAAATTATCAACTTCTCAAAATGGAAGAAAATAATCCTCAACCTTAATAATTGATAAATCAATGTGAGTGATATATTAAACAAATTCTTGCTTGCTTGTTTTTGTTTTTGTGTATGTAGTGGTGATGGTGGTTGGGGGTGGGGGAGTTAGGTTGCTACATTCGATCGTGATGCATTACCGACCTCTTCCTTGCCTTCATCTTGAGCAATAGTGACATTATAGAGTACTCATTTGTCACATTTATGTGATAGTCTGGGTTGTAAATGCCATTCACATCGCAACACTTTGATAAGTTTGATGGGATTTCGGTTTATCTAATTTTCTGTGGATGAACACATTCTGCGGGCACATCGCTCGAAAGAAAATCATATCCTGATGTCTGATTCTTGGAAATCGAGTCTTTTCGCGTTCGATGACTATGTTTTGGATAGTAGTATTAGTATTATATTTCCTTCAACCAGACTCGTCTTTAATATCATCTTCACCACTGGCTTATAAACCAGCTAAAATAGTTTTACTATCACAACGATCTGTAACCCATAGACAGTGTTTTCATAAAGGTGGCCTGTGATGTGTTGATAGACAGGCCTTTTATCTAGGTCTGCTTTACCACGTATACGCAGTCCCTTGCAAGATATCTAAGAATGACTAATACGTCAGTATCTCAGATATTTGAACTAATACTGTTCAAAAGGTATAAATATGCTTGGTTTGTGAGCATAGCTATCCATCCAGCTTTATGAGTAATAAATCCCAGATGCACAGGGAAAGAGTCTATCTTTTCAGGTTTAATACATTCACTTGATGGGCCCCACCAGCCATTCCATGCATTACATACTTGCTTAGTTGCGTACATACGAGTATTTATGATATCTTTACCTAAACCGAATATATACTGTTTCGTTTCTGGTCCAGATTTATCTCGTTCTAGACGTCTCTGAACACAATTTGCACGTCCACCGCTAAGATATTATCTCAATGCCTTCCCGCCAGATCGATAGCATTTCTGTATGTATTTAATTTGCCTATTTATTTCCATAGCCTCAAGGAGAGTTGTTGAAAGAAGTACCCTTGAGACCTCCTTACTTTCCACATTTATTGTGTTCTGAACGATTTAATACAATTGAAGTCAGTTGTAGGATCGCTAAACTGAAAATAGAATCCAGCGGCGCCTGGCAATAATTGTGTTAGGCCACAGAGCAAATGGAGATTTCCGAGTCAATTTGCTTTTACTTAGATGTAATTGAGTACGTCTCTACCACATCACCACTCATTCTTATCCGAATTCATTTCATTTAAGCCACTAAAATTTTGATCACATCCAGATCAAGCCTTTTGATATTGATCGAATTTCAACACCGATATAAATCACGAAGACATTCAGAGCGCCGTCTTCACTAAACGTGTTCTTGATCTTAATCACTTCGTCAAGTCATGCAAGACTATGGCTTACACCTGCTAGCATACAGACTGGTATTAATCTTTCATTTTAAATCAAATTTGTATTTGCACATTTTGAAACGGTCTATCCATAAAAAAAATTCCTGTCCCGCATCATGGTAAGAATGGCATCTTACAAAGTAATATATGAGCTTGCAGGAGCAGAGTACGCGAATCGTAGCGTCACCTGCCTCTAGGTTAATAGGGAGGAAAGGGAGACATAGATGAAACCTATGCTAATGTTTACGATATAGATAGGAACATTTACTAATAATATGTACCACACGAAAAGACCGTGTTCTAGTCCAAGAGTTTCGTCGAAATTTGTCTTCTGTAGGATATAGAATATCTTTCATATTTGCAATATACATTCTAAGGCAAGTTTAAATCTGCAGTATTTGTGTAATTCTGGAATTCGTTTGCGTCGTAAACACACTGAATAATTCATTAGGGAAACAATGTTTCTAACAACTGGCAACGAAAACAAAATGGGCTAAGCAGTGAGTCACTGTCTTCGTGACTGATTTATCTATTAATTAATATAATTACAATGTAACGTATTTGTCGTTAAATGACCTGTGTAAGCTTTCAAAATGAAAACAAAAATTAATATTAGACTGCACCTTCCCTCCATCCCCCCTCTCTCTCTTTTCTCTCTCTCTCTCTCTCTCTCTCTCTCTCTCTCTCTCTCTCTCTCTCTCTCTCTCTCTCTCTCTCTCTCTCTCTCTCTCTCTCTCTCAAAACATTTCCTTACTGCATAAAAAAGCCCCAAAATAAAACACTAGATCACTTTCTCAACTACTACATAAAAGCAAAACAAAGCAACTGAACCATTAATAGTGTACTGTGTCAAAATATAAGAAAATGTTGGCCATAATAATAAAATACAACTGGTCCACTTCTTTCCTATTGGAAAGAAAAGAAAAAATCCCCACATTCCTAACCAGACCAACTTTCCTTTCTCCTGTTAGAAAAACAAAACAGCTGGACTACTTCCTTACTTCTATGTTTAATAAATCAAGCCACCTTCCCCCCCCCTTTTCCCCATGAACATAGTGATATCTTCAGTCCCCGTCCGATTTCTTTCCTAAATTGTGATCCCGTTTCTAGGCCTTACTACTGGCTCACTTTTCTTGCTCCCAGGATTTTATCATATTGGTTCCTCCTTTTTATAACATAAGGGGCGAGTACAAAAACAAACAAACAAACAAAAAAAAAAAAAAATGCGGGGAAGGAGGAAGAAAGAAACGGCCATAGTTCAGTATTTATTTATATAACACTTTAATATCCATCTCTCTATCTGCTGCACTCTATAAGACTCATTCGAAATAAAAATTTTTAAAATATGTTGCTTTTTGTTTAACGTTCATTAATCTGTTGACTGGTTCTGATCCTAATCTGTTCCTTTTCTTTGTATGAATATTATTCTGTACTGAAAACTTTTTTCACAGTCTACTGTCTGAAGGGGTATATACATAACTGATTTAGCCAGCTGGAACAAGTTTGAAAACGAATCTTTATGGTTGTTATGTAGGTTTTCCAAAGCTCATAGGTATTATCGATTGGGTGTTTTTGCTACAAAATAAGGTTTTTCAAAAACATAAGCTTTGTTAAAATTTCATTTCCTTGAATTGGCATTCTGCTAACTACTATACCGTCATGCCTTCTGTTTTTGTCTATCTAACAGTATTTAACGGTTTTTTTTAAATTAAAAATCACTACCTGGTATCTCCGTTAACACTTTCCTAACTCCAATAATCTGATATATTTCCTAAGTTTAAAACTAAATTGCCTTCAACCAATATTTTCCATAACGCATTCAGCATCTAAAAATGGAATCAGGGCACAATTTTTAGTTTCGGATTAGTACCCAAGAATGTAGTCCCTGTCTTTTTTAGATCATATTTTTTCTATCCCCTTTTGGTGGTGACATGGAGTTTCATTGAGACATTCTTAGAATGGATTTAAAGGCAATTGTTTATTCTTTAGAATATGAGCTGATGGTGTGATCGTTTGTGTGTTGTTTCGGCGATAGTGCACATGTAGTAATAATGCCTTGGTGATGATCCAGAAGTGAAATCTGTGTTTCATTGCACATTGCCTTGTTTACAGACCAGCCTCTCGAAAAAAGGCCGGTGAAACTATGACAAGAACTTCATTGTGAGTTCATCTTTTAAGGTACCCTATAATGAGATATGATTTATTTTATTAGGACATAAAGGATAATTCAGAAAGAAATGAAGAAAAAAATATAGTAAAATTAATTGTGTTCTGATTTCAGATGAACCCCACTGGGACTCGGCATTTTAGAGTTTTCTAGACAGCCCGTATTATAAACGCGTATTTATAAAACTTTCTTGTTGCAAAGTTGAAATTACGAGAAAATGCTTGTTTCTGGGCCTAATATGCCATTAAAATTTTCTTTTAAAACCATTCATGTCAAGCCGAAGAAACCAGATGTATAAACATTTACGAAAATTTAAACGTCACGATAAGCGCTACAATATTCATACAATATTAATCACTTTAACGGTGTACGGCTGAATAAAATTATATACTGTGCAGAGTACATTTTTTTATACGCGCGACTTGAAAATAGTATATGGGAGTTCTCCCTTATCATCGTTTTCCAAGTGCTCAAATTAGTACAAAATTGTTTATGTAACGAAAGTAATAACCACTTTTAGGTAAAGAGTTTATTTGTGCTTGGGTGCCCGTTTTGGTGTCTTACTGATTTAAAGCATTTGGTTTCAGTATGAGTTAAATATGATTCCTTTTTATTTATTTTTTTCTAACTCCAGTTGTGGTTCTGGACAACTTCAGTTTGTACATCACCAAAAGTATGGTCAGGGTGTCAGATGTGTTGAGATTGATCATTTTGTTGTTTGGTTTCCCCGAAATATTGAACGTTGGCCTCTATCATAGTTTGACAAAAGTTGCACATTTTATCGCATTAAACCACGAGGTGCGTGTGTTATTTGTATTTTTAACGTAGCTTTTATAAATTTTCAGTCATATGGCTACGAGGTTTGCAGTGTAGCAGGTTTATAATGTGATATCTATTGCTAGGGCACTATGCCGCAAACATGTCGCATGAGATCCCATCCAGTTACATTATCCTGACACCAGGTCCACCAGTTCTAACACTAACATCCTAATGTTAAGCGCCAAGCGAGGCAACTGCTAGCACCATTGTTATACGTCTTTGGTATGCTCGACCGGGGTTCGAACCCGCGCCTCCCTCATCTGAGGAGGATGCTGTAACCACTTAGGTCACCGGAGCGATTGTGACCCCGGATTTTTAAGTATAGTTCGAATAATACCTAACATTATTAGGGCTCCGACTAGGATGTGTCTGATGTTTGGTAGGTTACTACAGGTTTCTTCTGAAGGCTTAGCTTTAGTGTGTCACGCGATTCCACGGTGGACCAGTGTTCTTGGGCGATTTGACCTACTCGTATGTTGTCTAAAAGGTAGATCAGGCCCAAATGTAACCGATCAACTCTTTTATTATCTATTTATTCTAAGAGGTCATTGCTTTCTTTTCTTGTATAGCCCTCTGTGCTGCCTTCGGACATCAGGTCTTTCTTGTAGAATCGGTTAATTAAATATTCAGACAGCTTCTCGGATCGCTTATTGTAATGTTTCGTTGTCGGAGCAAATTTTGGATATCGTCATATGGCCACACGTGATGTTGTGTATGTGATGCTTTGGATGACAGTTGGATGGGAGAAGATACTGGTGATTAGCAATCAGATTTGAGCCTGTGTAGTGTTTGTTTTATACAGTTCTGGATGTTTTATCTAGAACTACGTGAACTGAGTTGGAGTTTTCTGCCGCGAATGTTACTGAAGAACGAAAGTTGTTTGCTCTTTAAAATAAAGCCATCCCGTTTTTTCTCTCCCATGCTGACCGGCCATTTCAATTTCATGAAGCGTATCCACTGCTATGTCGAAGTCTCACCGATGCTAAAAGTTGAACCTAGAGCTTTTCCATACAAATGAAACCGTATTGGCCGGGAGTGTGTTGTAGTAGGGTGGGGGTGGGTAAGCATCTTGTACATTGCTGTTATATTGATTTGATGGAGATATTTTCATTGAATATAATGTTAATTTAAGAATAAATGCGCAGTTCGTATACGGTTCTTGTTTCCCTTGTTTCTCTATACGCCTGTATCCATTCACTGTAGGGGTATATTATTAGAGAGATATGTAACGTCTTAGGAAACAGGTGTTCCTGACAGTAATGGATGACTGTAGGTGAGATAATGTGTCATATCTTGGAAATAGAGTGACCATTTCTGGACATCACGTCTCATGAAATGACCTAGATATTTTGATATCCTTGCTGCGTGATGTCCATTAACGGAAAGTAATTGTCCAGCCGGGCCTCCATGTTAGTAGGTATTAAGTACAGGATTCAGTAATCTTTGATATGCTGTATGTGCGTCTGGTTTGTGACGTCTCATCAATAATATTTATAAGTTTTACATTATCCACTGTTGGATCCTGATGTAATTCTTTGCAGATAATTAGGTCACTTTATTGTCAAGTTGCTTTAATGGTGTAGTTTTTTCCTATTCACAATGGCTAAAGCAGAGTTCTTATCTACATAATTACTTATGATGTCTGTTATTTTATTTTGTAATGTGTTATTTCTTTTTTCTCTTTTTTAAAATCAATTTTAAATATATGCTATCGAGTTTTGAAGAGTTGTATATAACTTAAACAACCGAACATTTTTATGGGGTCCGATTATTTTTTGTTTCGGAGTATGTGTCTAATGCACAAGTATTCCCCACAGGCAAAACAGACCTCTAATTTTAGTCTGTTGCTAAAGTATTTAGAGTCCGTTTGGAGCTTTCATCTCTGACATATCTTTGTTCGGTGACAGAAATTTTATTTTCCACTGTAACCTATACTTTTTCTGAGAGATTGACCAATGGTAACAGGGGGAGGAATGCTAGTTGTTCACATTTCTCTTTTTTTACAGTGTTATTGTTTTCCTGAAGAGGAATTTCCCTATGTTGAAGGTTTTACAGCAAAGTGAGTCGGTTGCAGGTTGTGTATTTAGGCGTTCTTTTCCTAACTTCTTTATAGCTTTACATAAAATATATATTGATCTTTTATTTAGAGTTAAACAGCTTTTAAATGCTCATATCCAGTAATGAAAGTTAACCCCTTTTCCAATTTATCATTGATTACCGAGTTTTGCAATATATTGAGCGGTTTAATTCCCAATAAGCACGGAATTCCATGTACACAGCGTGTCTAATATTACTCCATCTATTATTCAATCTGTTAGATATCTTGCAAAATCATTTGGCAATAATTTGAGGACCGTTAGTAACTGATGTTGTTTGCTGACATTTATATAACACGGTGATATGGTGGTTGAACTAAGTAATGGTTAAGTTTCGTTGCATAAGGTTTTGAATATTTTTCCATAGACTGAGATAATTTATCAGTAATATTGATTCAGCGGTCAGAAGAAAAAAAAGATGAGAGAAGCGTGAATGTGTAAATGACATAGACATAAAATATCAGATGGGATTTGTATTCATATATTTTCAACATATTAAGGCTTTGTGTATTCTGTATTTTGTCTCTTTATTGTGTTCGTTCGCGTTGATTATATCTTTTGTCTTATTCTTACCCCTAAATCAATATGATGGATATAGTATCTAGCTGTCATCCCCAACCTATTGGCAATACCTCAAACCAATTTAATTAAAAGTGGAGTTAAATAGCCCACGATGTTGGCCATTAAACTCGCTACGCTACCGAAGGACTCATTATACCGATTCAGTAAACCTATGGAAAAACCATGAAATTAAAAAATCAATATCTTTAAATTTCTTAACGCTCGTGATCAATGCTGTCTTTCTGAGGATAGATCAATCTTTGATGCAAGCTTTTGATTTAAGAAAGTTATATGTCTGGCGGTAATTTTTAATCTATGTATATTTAAAACACGTGTTTTCATTCCCACACTTGCAGAATCAGTTGCTAATTTCACCAATGAGCATTCCAAAGGCAAGTATGTCTACTAATAAAGCATCGTCTCTATTTTTTTTCTACAATTACGATAAGCTCACGAAAGATTCCTTAGACTAACATTTTATTGTTCATTATCAATTAATCATGTCAACCAAATTATTATATTCTTTTTTATCTTCTCCCATTTCTAGGCTGATTTACATTCTTTCATATAAATATGATGAACCATAAAGGGAAATTAAACCTATCAATGTGGTGGCCAGTCGGAAGCCTTCAGAACGTTCATAGGGAGTTAACAATCTTATTAAAAGTCTTCCTCAAGAGACAATAACGGATATACAGTTAGCATTTCCTATGTTATAGACTTCCTTAAGGAAGTAAACATTTATCATAAGTTATTGCTTTTATGTTATCAACTTGAATATTTTTATGTGCTATCTATGTACGTTCGCTAGATTTTAATTACCATTCACCAGTGTACGTTGTCATACATTATTTACACTCCCTGTTGATCAGGAAACATTATTCATTGATCGCCGTTACCATTTCCATCGTTTTACCTTTAACTATTTGGCTTCGTATTGCTGGTCGATACAAAACCTTTTACCACTTGTAAATAGTGAAGGATTTAATCTTTTGTATGGCGCTAAATAGCCACTTTGAACTGGTGCGCCGTAAAAATTCAACCAACCAACGGATATACACATAAACACACACACACACACACACACACACACACACACACACACACAAATAATGATACACATAGTGTGGCATGCATACAACAACGCATACTTTGAACAGAGAAGCACAACTATCCAGAATATGGAAGGTACAAGCAAGAACCAGCCCCCATATACTACTGGTCCAATTTCAATAAAAAAAAAAAACAACAGCAAAATAACCAGAAATTACTACATTACTAAAAAAAATTTATCTATGAATAAGACAAAAAAAAATTGACTTCCAGCTAGCAGCACAATATACATAATGGCGTGACCCAGTGCTCTGCTTCATTGTGAGATGGAGCGCCATTATTGTTTACTCCTATTGTAACATCCAGGTTATAATTTCTGCTATCAGTAACAACAATATGAATATACATTATAAAGGAATGAGGTGTAAAGGCGTAACTACAAGAGTATAAAATAATAATAATAATAATAATAATAATAATAATAATAATAATAATAATAATAATAATAATAATAATAATAATAATAATAATAATAATAATAAATTAATAATGACAATAATAATAATAATAATAATAATAATAATAATAATAATAATAATAATAATAATAATAATAATAATAATAACTTCACATCGCTACAATGAACGAAACTAGGTAAAAAGACAAAGAAGAAACTTACATACAGCGGTTTAATTGAGAACTTTTCAGATAAGTTCGTTTCGACATTTGTATCGTCGAATTTCAACTGTATATCACATTTACATGTGAGCCTTCTTCAAGGTGTAAATGTACTATTTTATAGTAACAGGATCACATTTCAAAAATATATTAGACAAAGTAATTCGTGAAACGGTGTTCGAGTCAAAACCTAACGATTTCATTATTACGGGTAATAAGGGTCATAAGTCAAATCCTTTAAACATTCGTTGAACTTACTAGCAGAAGTATTGTTGTATTTATTTGAAATAATACAAAGAAAATGATCACAAAATCCGCGACTCTCTCCTCTACTATTTTTGTTATTGCATGTTGGTAGCGTTATTCTTGACCGTTTCGTATAATTGATATGACTATGCATATAATGAAAGATATATTGTAAAACACATCAGCAATCTTTTGAGCGATTCATTTACAAAAAATACACAAGAACCAGTCGGATTGGCAATGTCATGAACTATTCGTGAATCAGTCAAGACTATACTTGTATGCAATTATATACGTCGAGGAATTTGGTTCCATTACAATTTTGACAAGGCGCATGGACCTTATATTACGAATCTTTTATTTTAATGATATATGTTCGGGGAATCGAGCTCTGACACTATAATCGGTAGATAATGACGGATGGTACTTAATGATATCCCATGCGAGGCTACGTCGGAGAGCATCGGCCTTTATCCATCGTAATAATGTGGTGGAAATGTTAACATGTTAATTTGAGGCCAAGCAGAATGTACTGGCCTTTGTATTGATGTTATTGTCACTGTTTGTTTGCACCACTGAGTTAGAGGTTATGGAAAATCCAGAAATTGACTTGAGATATTGTGCCAATGATTAATGATTAGCGATTGTGTATAGAACAAAAGA